TTACTATGTGTTTAACTTTTTGCCGAGCCGCCATACTGTTTTCCATAGTGGCTGTACTATTTTACATTCCTACTATCAGTGCACAGATATTCCAATTTTTCCACACCTCACCAACACTTGTTATTTTCTGTGATTTTCTTTATAATAGTCATCCTAAAGGGTGTGAAGTGGTATCTCGTGGTTTTGATTTGCATTTTCCTGATTAGTGTAGATGAAAAAGGGGCCACATACCAAACCTGACAAACTCAGGAGAGAACAATATGGTGGGCTTTACAAACTCAGAGACCAAAAGTAACCAACCACATAGGATAGTCTGAACATAAAAATTTCTAACTAACAGCGGGTTATGCTGGTAGGCATGTCCTAGACCTGTGGCTTCCTTGACAAAGGTCAGTTTTCCTTGACAAAGTGAGCCTGTCTGTTGTCTTTTTGCATCTAAAATAACATACCTCTGCAATGTCAGAGTAATGGTCTGTTCCAGACCTCCGAGGGCATACCCACTGCACCAGAGCAGGAGACCAGAGAACCCATCATTATCTCCCTTTCCTGAATACCATCTCTATGTACTGTAAATATTAATTATTAATGATCCTGTACCCACCTATGTAAAAGAGATTTGTCTCGCCCAGCTGGTGCGGCCAGGAGGGTAAGCATTGACCTATGAACCAGGAGTTCACAGTTTGATTCCTGGTCAGGGCACATGCCCTGGTTGCCGGCTCAATCCCCAGTAAGTGGTGTGCAGGAAGCGGCTGATCAATGGTTTTCTCTCATCATTGATGTTTCTATCTCTCCCTCTCCATTCCTCTCTGAAATCAACACAAATTTATTTAAAACAAACAAACAGAAAAAAAGAATTATGTCTCTCTGTTTTACTTTTTTATTCAATTCCAGAGATTTCCCTATTTTGCTTTCTTCCTCCCCCTTAATCTACCACTGAAACTGGAAACAAAAGGGTCTGCGCTGCCTGCTGCTACCGGAGTCAATTAAGTAGAAATGAGGTTGAATCTTTATGATGCGTTTATTTAATCAGATAGCTGACAATCTGAGAGAGCAGCAGGTATAACACCCTGAAAAGACGCTCAAATCAATGTTATATAAGGTCAAAGGGTGGGGGGCAAGGGACAGGAGAAAAAATCTAACAACTAAGTGAGTTCCCAGGGTCTGCTCTCTAGCAATGTCCTGAAAAGGTTAGCTCTTAGCGTTTGTCTCTGTCCTTGGTCTGCTCTCAAAATGTATCTTCTTTCTGAGTGATGGGGCCACCTGGACTTCAAGGTCGATTTTCCTGTTTTCCTTTTTCACACTGCATTCGCAGGGTCTGTAAGAAAACCTCTTACCTATAGTTAGTAAGGTGGATAATACTAAACAATGATGATTCTGTTCCTATTATGTGCCCCTCCCCTATCACCACCGGTGGATTTCATGTAAACCTTCCTCTGTCTCTTCCTGTATTTTATTCTAATGTATAAAATAAGCTGCAAAACTGTCATTCTCTGGAGCATTTTATTTCAATCTGTTGAGAGTTTGCTTTTTGGCAATTGTCCTCAGATTGGTTCAAATAAACTTTTTTCCCCCCAAATAAACTCTTATAAAACTTTTTCTTAGTCTGGACACCCTTTTGTCAACATTAGTGATGTTGAACATCTTTTCATGTGCTTTTTGGCAGTTTACATGTTTTCTTTGGAGAAATGTCTGGTCAGATCTTTTGCCCATTTTTGAATTGGGTTGTTTGGTGGTGTTGAGTTTTAGAAGTTCTTCACAAGTTCAGGCTATTCATCTCTTATCAGGTATGTGATTTACAAACACTTTCTCCCATTCTATGAATTTCTATTTCATTCTGTCCTTTGCTGCACAAAAGTTTTTAATTTTTTAAAAAAATATATTTTATTGATTTTTTTCACAGAGAGGAAGGGAGAGGGATAGAGAGTTAGAAACATCAATGAGAGAGAAACATCGATCAGCTGCCTCCTGCACACCTCCCACTGGGGACGTGCCCGCAACCAAGGTACATGCCCCTGGCCGGAATCGAACCCGGGACCCTTCAGTCCGCAGGCCGACGCCCTATCCACTGAGCCAAACCGGTTAGGGCATGTTTTTAATTTTGATGTAGTCCAATTAATCTATTTTTCTTTTGTTGCCTGTACTTTTGGTGTTATATCCAAGAAATTGCCAAATCCAATATCATGAAGCTTTCCCCCTTTGTGTTTTTATAAGACTGTAATTTTAGCTCTTAGGTTTAGGTCTTTAGACTCAATCATCAAGCTCAATCCATTCTATTTCATTAATTCCACAGAATGTTCCCATCTACATTTCTATGCTCATGCTCTTCTCTGTGTTTAGAAATCCTTTTTTTCTATCTCCTTGTATTCAAAGTATTACCATCTTTCATGGTCTCTTCTAGCAATTTTCAACCTTTTTAATCTCATGGCACACATAAACTAATTACTAAAATTCTGCAGCACATCAAAAAATATTTGCCAGCCCTAACCGGTTTGGCTCAGTGGATAGAGCGTCAGCCTGCAGACTGAAGGGTCCCAGGTTCGATTCTGGCCAGGGGCATGTACCTTGGTTGCGGGCACATCCCCGGTGGGAGGTGTGCAGGAGGCAGCTGATCGATGTTTCTCTCTCATTGATGTTTCCAACTCTCTATCCCTCTCTCTTCCTCTCTGTAAAAAATCAATAAAATATATTAAAAAAATATTTGCCAATCTGATAAAAAAATATATAATTTTGATTCATTCACATTGGATGGCTATTGTATTGGTTGTTGTCATTTTTAAAATTGACAATCTAAGGCAGCGGTTCTCAACCTGTGGGTCGCGACCCCTCTGGGGGTCCAACGACCCTTTCACAGGGGTCGCCTAAGACCATCGGAAAACACATATATAATTACATATTGTTTTTGTGATTAATCACTATGCTTTAATTATGTTCAATTTGTAACAATGAAATTGGGGGTCACCACAACATGAGGAACTGTGTTAAAGGGTCGTGGCATTAGGAAGGTTGAGAACAACTGATCTAAGGGAAGAGAGGTTAGTGCCTCTTGGCTAGTCCAGTATTGCTTGTTTTAAAAATCCTTGTGGCACACCGGTTGAAAAATTGCTGGTCTATTCCAACTGCTCCCTGCTTTTTATTTTATTTTATTTTATTTTTTTCCTCCCTGCTTTATAAAGTCTTCCTATGAAGAGACTCACTTCTTCTGATCTCCTATTAGTGCTTTAGTTTCACTTTTCTTATAGGATATCAATACAAATTTATTTTTTTAAAAAGTATGTCTCTCTGTTTTACTTTTTAATTCAATTTCAGAGATTTCCAAATTTTGCTTTCATATATATATATGTATATATATATGTATATACATATATATGCTGCCTTATACTATAGTTTACATTTAATCTCTTATAAGACATTTAGATGTTTAGTATATTTTTCACAAGTTTTTTCATTATAGTATTTTGTACATTATTTTATATGTTTATAAATAAATATTTATTTAATGAATGGATGATTTTATTTTTGTCAATGTAGTTCTTTTGGTTTACTCGGCACTCGGAGAAGGAATGGTAAGCCAGGGAGGGAGGCCATCACAGAGTTCCTGCTGGGTAGGGGGTGGGTGTTGGTGTAGGTATGGGTGTGGTTGCGGGGTTAGTTCTACTTCAAAACTCACCTCTTGCCCAGCTGGCGTGCCTCAGTGGTTGAGTGTTGACCTATGAACCAAGAGGTCATTGTTCAATTCCCGGTTAGGGCACATGCCCAGGTTGCGGGCTCGATCCCCAGTTGGGGTGTGCAGGAGGCAGCCAATCAATGATTCTCTCTCATCATTGATGTTTCTATCTCTCTCTCCCTCTCCCTTCCTCTCTGAAGTAAATAAAAATATATTATAAAAAATACAAACTCATCGCTTTAGGAAATTTTTCTCATAATTTGCATTACTTGCATTGACTATGTAACTCTTAGCATTCTGGTGCTCATTTAATTTTCACGTCTTGATTTATTGCCTATAAATATGATGATAGGCCTTTTAAAATGAATGTTTTACTTTCCCAACTAAATTAGATTGACTTATTCAATTAGATGGTAGTTTGCGACAGCCCAAACTTCTGTTGCTTTTTCTTTTAAGTTGATTTTTTGAAATACACTCATATATGAATACTAGAGGCCTGATGCATGAAATTCATGCAAGAGTAGGCCTTCCTTCCCCCAGCTGCCAGCACAGGCTTCCCTCTGGCACCCGGGACCCAGGCTTCCCTCACAGCCCCAGCTTCATCTGGAAGGTTGTCTGGAAGGATGTCCGGTCTAATTAGCATATTACACTTTTACTATTAAATATATTTTTTGTATAAAAAAGTCAAAAGTTGCCTTTAAGTCTAAAGTTGCCTTTGATCAACTCAGTTCCTATCTTAGTGCCTCTCCCCCCCAGTTAATCACTGTTATTTGTTTTAGAGGAGCCCTGCCAGACCTTTTTCTATGCACTACTTACAGACATATTTATATTTTACTAGAGGACTGGTGCACAGATTCGTGCGCCCTCTCCTAATCTGGGATCCCTCGGGGATGTCGGACTGCCAATTTCAGCCACATCCCCACAGGCCAGGCTGAGGGACCCCACCCGTGCACGAATACGTGCACCGGGCCTCTAGTATGCATATAAGATCTTTGGTTAATCTCTTCTCACCCTCCCCCCTCTTCCCTCTGAGATTCATCAGTCTGTTGCATGTTTCCATGCCTGTGCATTGAGCGTCTGCCCCCTGGTGGTCAGTGCGCATCATAGCTAACAGTCGAACAGTTACTTAGGCTTTTATATAGAGATATAGAACATCATATGTAATATTTCCCCCTTTGTTTTTCTTTGTAGTGATCAATAATCAGTAGATCAGAAATAAGTCTTACTGATACCTGGGTCTGAAAGACTAGAATGAGAAGTGAAAGGTCAAATGTATGAAAACACATCATATGTATCCAGCTTGCAAAATTCCATTCTATATCTTGTCTACATATAGTCCCCAGGTAGCAGTGGACAGGCCATGGCTCCACGGCCCCGGCGACGAAGGCACAAGAAATCTTCCTCATCAGTGGCTCCCACAGCTGTGACCCAGCCTACAGCTGTGACCCCTCCCACAGCTGTGACCCAGCCTACAGCTGTGACCCCTGTGCCTCTGACCCTCTCAAAACCTGGCCCCAGCATTGATGCACTTGGCTTCTACTCCTTGGACAATAATGTTCCTGGCCTATCCCAGCTGATTCTTCAGAAGCTGAACATGAAAAGCTATGAAGAATACAAGTGAGTGACTAGTTCTGTGGAAGAGCAATTTGTAGTCACCCTTAGAAATGATTTCAAAAGGTGGAGAGGGAGTATAACTTGGGAATAATGAAGTATTTGCAACAAGGGATTTTTCTCATCCTGACTTTTGCCAGTTCGTTACTATAGAAATAAAAAAGTATAATTTGTGCCATGGCTGGTGTGGCTCATTAGGCTGGAGCATTGTCCCATACACCAAAAAGTAACAGGTTCAATTCCCAGTCATGGAACATACCCAGGGTTCAATCCCCAGTCAGGGCGTGTGCAGGAGGCAGCCAATTGATGTTTCTCTCACATCGGTGTTTTTCTCTCTGTCTCTCTCTCTATAAAAGTCAATAAAGAAGAAAATGAAAATAAAAGTGCATATTAAAATATATATATGTATGTATGTATATATATATAATTAAGTCAAAATGATGGGAGCAGGTAGAAATACAACATATAGGAGGCAAAGGAGGGGTCCTGAGAGACTTTGGAGATCCTCTTTTCCCTATTGCTGTACCTTTTTATGCTGTCTCTGCAGGTTGGTGATAGATGGGGATACTCCTGTGTCAGGCTTTGGATTTCGATGCCCTCGAGAAATGTTCCAGAAGATGGAGGACACATTCCGATTCTGTGCTCACTGTAGAGCACTCCCCAATGGCCTTTCGGACTCCAAGGTCCTCCGGCGCTGCAAGAGGTGACTAGTCAGGGGCAAATAGGGGAGAGATCCAGAAACGATCCTGTTCTAAGACCTCATTGTAGGAGGAAAGGTCTGCATTTTCACAAAAACGTAAGGCCGACTCCTCATTCTATGTGATCCCGGCCACAGACAGATTAGAAAAGGGTTGGGCTCCTGCTTGTTTTTGGTGCTATGGGGAAGTCACACAGAGATCCCAGTACTATTCTACCTTCCTCCTCTTGAGAACTTAAGGGGTAAGACCATAATCTGTTCTGGGCAGGTTAGGGTTGAGACATACGCATGGTAAGAGGGCAGCCACAACCTCCTGGAGTTATTTTTTCTTTAAGGGATGTAAAAAGTGAGTTGTTGCAGATAGAGACTGAGGTGTTACTCTGACCCAAGAGAAAAACTACATTCCCTATCTCTCCTGCCTCCCCTTCTAATGTAGTCCCCAAATTTGGTTGCAAATAGCTGCCATTCCTCTCCCTGCCTTCCTTACCCAGTAATTTTTCTTCCTAGGAACAGGAATATCAATTCTCTTCCCCAGATATTCTCCCAATCACCTTTGAAATATAGGAACCAATATTTCTGGGGCTTATTCTCTCAGGTGCAGAAATGTCTATTACTGTGGTCCAGAGTGCCAGAGGTCAGATTGGCCCGCCCACAGGAGGGTTTGTCAAGAGCTGCGTCTTGTAGCTGTGGACCGTCTCATGGAATGGCTTCTGGTCACAGGTGGAGTGGTGGTGTTGGGGAACTCTGCCATAATGGTCAAAATTGATTGTTCTTAGAGAGAGAGATGAAAGCATGTTGTTATGAGGGGAAAATGAAGAACGGAGAGGGGCAGGATAGTGAGGCCTCCCTGGTCACAGGTTGGGAGAATGAACCTAGACGGAACATTGAAGCCAGAGAAGAATTAGGTCACTTCTTTGTTGTTCCTTCTTTCCTGCAGGAGATTTTGTCCTACCCGCAGGACCGTGGCCATGGCTTCCGGAAGTCGTAGAGGGCTGGGACACCTGGTTTTCAATGCGGCGCCTACAGCTAGATGCTATACTGGCTGCTGTGCTAGGTAGTCATGCCATGACCACCCTGTGGGCCAGTGCAGGGAGGCCAAGGCCAGACCCAGATGTCCTGCAGGACTCTTTGAAGCGACTCCTGACAGATGTCCTGTCACGGCCTTTGACCCTGGGCTTGGGGCTTCGGGCCTTGGGGATAAATGTGAAGAAGACTGGAGGGAGCACAGTGCATGTAGTTGGTGCTTCCCACGTGGAGACATTTCTCACGCGCCCCGGGGACTATGATGAGCTTGGTTACATGTTTCCTGGACACCTTGGCCTCCGTATAATAATGGTGGGTGTAGACGTTGCTACTGGCTTTTCACAGAGCACCTCAACTTCACCTGTGGAACCTGGCACGGTTCAGCTTAGTGGCCATAGGGGCCTCTACCATAACTTCTGGGAGGAGCAGGTAGAGACTGGGCAGACAGCCCATCCAGATTTGGTGGTGGCATTCCATCCAGGTAAGAGTGGTTCAGGGAATACTGGGTGGGTCCTCTGGGAATTTTCTATTCTGACTCTTGTATTTTCTATCTTTGGAGCCACATTCATTAGGTCAGGTAAAACACAATATGATGATGACCTTATTGATCGTTAGCCTTATGTGCTACACCTGGGTTCAGAATTTTCCACTGAAGAACCTGGGGTGGGTGATAGTGGTAAATGAGCATCCGCAGTGAGCAAGATGAAGGTTAGGATGGACACAATCAGAGGAGTATCTATCTCAGCCTTTCCCCTCTCTATTCCATAGGTTTTCACGCTTCCCCGGACTTGATGGAGGCTTGGCTGCCCACCCTTCTGCTACTTCGAGATTATGAAATCCCTACATTGATGACTGTTTACAGGTTTGGATCTCTTCCTATTTGTGATACCTCCCTGACTCACTCAGGCCTCTATTTATAGAGATGAGCTCATTTCTCTCTCCTTTGCTCATCTTCTGCCTTCTGATGAGGATTTTCTTTCTTCTCACACTGGCTTTCTGGTCCCCTTGGAACAAAGGCCTATGTTAGTAAATTGGCAATTAGTGAGACATCTGGGAGGGAAGGAGAGCCTTTGCCTACTCCAGCCTGAGGTAATTTGGGGGCTTGATGAGCCCAGAAATGTCAAGTTCTGAGCACTTTCTCTCCTATCTCTCTCATCAGCAGAGCAATTTTTCTTCTGTCTCCCTCAGCCATCAGGAGCTGGCAGCCTCTCTGCAGATTCTGGTGGACCTGGATGCACACATCATTGCCTATGGAGCCAACCCGTTCTCGTCCCTCAAACCTGAACAGGTCTATTCCAACCCCAACAAGCAGCCAGTTTACGGCAGCGCCTACTATATCACGTTTCTCGGGAGCTCCTGCCAGCTGGACAAGAGGCAGTTGGAAGAGAAAGTAGATGGTGGGGATTAAATAGCTGAGCCAGATTCTCACTGGATACCTAGGAAAGGGGGGGCTGATAAAATTACCCTGCTGATGCCGGTTTATTGCCAACTTTGAAACTTCATTGTCCAGGTAAAGCTTCTAAGCAGCATGGGAACTCCTATATGATGTGACTCATTTCTGAGAGGTTAGCCACAGGCAGCTTCTAGAGTCGGGATTCTAGATTTGGTGTGCGGCAAGAGGCCTCAGTGACACCAGATGGCACCAAGGAGAAGCATGGCACCTTATTTTGAAAGACTTCTTGTCCAGCAATTTGGTCTAAAAAATGGAGAGGTGTTAATGACTTGAGGTGGTGCAAGAAGGAGCAAGTCAGAGAAGTGGTGGGGTACCTGGGAATGTTGTGAGGATTGGCACACTGTTGTATTTCTTGGCATTTTCAAGATAAGTATCTCATGTTTGTATTTTCTGTTGAGGACTTTCAACCCTAGAGCAAGCAGCATTTTGCCCTGGCATTATATTTTAGATATTCCAGTTATATCAGACTTTACTTAAATATACTCGAGTGATTTGTTATCATCTGATCTATACCACAATAAACTCAGTTTGGGGCTTCTTAAGTCACTAGTTTTTAATCTTGTTTCCTATTCACTGGCAAGTATTACTTGTCTACACACACACCACCTCACAATTGGAGGTTTCTCTCTTGTCAAAAGAGTGATTAACATCAGCTCCCTGTTCAGGCCTGCCAGTCTACCACACCCTGTCTCATGTCTTCCTCCTTCTTCTTCTTTTTTAAAAATATATTTTTATTGATTTCAAAAAGGAAGGGAGAGGGAGAGAGAGAGAGAAACATCAATGATGAGAGAAACATCAATCATTGATAGGTTGCCTCCTGCATGCCCCACACTGGGGACTGAGCCTGTAACCAGGGAATGTGCCCTGGCCAGGATTCAAACCGTGAACTCCTGGTTCATAGGTCAATGCTCAACCACTGAGCCACACCAGCCAGGCATGTCTTCCTTCTTTTATCACATTCTCAGGATTAGGATATTCCCTAGGTATTCATTCCTATAACCTTGCCAGGACCTCAAAACCCCACCCTAACCCTAACACACACCTATGCATTCTTACTGCCTGCTTTGATAGGGTAATGTCAGAATTCATTTATTCATTCAAAGCACTCAGTTAGTACCTATCATGTAAAAGGTATTAGGGCTTTGGGGATATACAAAGTTGAATGAGACCCTGTCCTTATTCTTAGCCTTGGAAGGGAAATAATACATATACATAGATATCTTTATTACAAGATGTAATGTGGAATAAAAACCTTGTGGTCTAAGGAAATAGAGTGAAAGGAGGAGCCACTTTGCTAAGGTGAAGATTTTGTGAATTAGAAACAGATGGAGGGCAAGGCATATCTTCAGACACTGTGAACTGTTCCCTGGGGGACAAAATTACTGCTCTAACGGCACAGAAAGTAGACTCTGACACGATGGAATGTTCACATTATGAGGAGCATAATGGCTCCTATTTCACATGAATTCTGGAGCGGATGATGATCTTCAGAGCTGTTTTGTTTTGTTTTTGCGAAGTGTATGTGGTTGAATACAGCAGGTAAGTTAAATGCCCGTGTGCTATGACGCTGTTGAATGTGCCACCGTAGACATCAGTAAAGGTTTAGTTGGGTGCAAAAGGGGAGTAACCACGTCTACCCAGGGGAAGGGAAGGAGCAGCAGGAGGAGGTTAGGAAACAGGACACGTTTTTGAAGCAGGAAGGAGGTGGGCAGTCTTTGAATTGTCTTACTAGATGAATAATTGTTCAAAGGCAGGCCATGATTTCTAGGCAGAGGAAGCATGAGGAAAGGAAGAAGGGCGAATCGAAAGGATGAAGTGGGAAATCTAGAGGGAGTGTCTGAACAGGCCATTGGATGTTTGGGCCTATAGCTCAGGAGAGTGGGCTGGAAAGCAGAGGTTTGGGAAATATTCTCTTAAGGTGATCGTTAAGGCAGAGGGAGGGGTGGGGCTGAGATCACCAAGGGAATAGTGCCGATTGATCGAAGATGAGTAAAGACAGGCTTCTTAGTTTGCCCACGGCTGGCCTAGGCCGTGGTCGGCAAACTGCAGCTCGCGAGCCACATGTGGCTCTTTGGCCCCTTGAGTATAGCCACGAAGTTTCAATTGCATTGTACGTGCACGCCCACACGCGGTATTTTGTGGAAGAGCCACACTCAAGGGGCCGCAGTTTGCCGACCACTGGTCCAGGGGGGAAGAAGAAGAGTGGGGAGGGAAAGGCTCTGGTGTGCTCCCTAGAGAGAGCGCATGCCCCACTTAAAATTTTAACCTACTCTCTCCCACTCCCCTGAGGAAGCGTTTAGGTAGAGCAGCATGTAGAGCAGTGATGGCGAACCTTTTGAGCTCGGTGTGTCAGCATTTTGAAAAACCCTAACTTAACTCTGGTGCCCTGTCACATATAGAAATTTTTTGATATTTGCAACCATAGTAAAACAAAGATTTATATTTTTGATATTTATTTTATATATTTAAGCTAGAGGCCCATTGCAGGAAGATTCCTGCAAGAATAGGGCTTCCTGAGACCGCAGCGGAGCAGAGAAGAGAGCGAAGCCCACCGAGGCTTCGCTCCCTTCTCCGCCGCCTCGCTCCCTCCCTTCACCGCTTAGCCTTCGGCTGTCTCCCTTCTCCGCCACTTTGCTCCCTTGCCAGGTCACAGATCCAAGGCCTGGATCCCCCGGGCAGCGTCGCGCACTGCCGGCCCCACCTTGCCGGGTCAGGGGTCCGGGGCCCGGGTCCCACGGGCAGCGTTGCGTGCTGCCGGCCCCGCCTGCAGTATGCAAATTAGCTGCCATCTTTGTTGGTGGTTAATTTGCATATCGCGCTGATTAGCCAATGGGAGGCGTAGCAAAGGTATGGTCAATTACCATGTTCGTCTATTATTAGATAGGAGGATGCCATTTAACAAAGAAAAATCAACCAAAAAAATGAATTCACATGTCACCTCTGACACACGTGTCATAGGTTTGCCATCACTGATGTAGAGTAATAGGAAGATGGCCTTCAAACTTCAGTGTGCATCAGAGTCACCAGGAGGGCTTGTTAAAACAGATTGCTGGCCCATGTCTGGTGTGGCTCAGTTGGTTGAGCATTGTCCCCTGCACTGAAAGGTTGCTGGTTCAATCCCCATTCAGGGCACATACCCAAGTTGTGGGTTCAAACCCCAGTTGGGGTGAGTGTGGGAGGCAACTGGTTGATGTTTCTCTCTCACATTGATATTTTTCTCTCTCTCTTTACATTAATTAAAAGAAAAAAACACAAACAACCCTGAAAAACAAAACAAAACAAAACAGATTGCTGGGCCCTGGCTGGGTAGCTCAGTTGGTTAGAACATGATCCCTATATACCAAGGTTGTGGGTTTGATCCCAGTCAGGACACGAACAAGAATCAACCAATGAATGCATAAATAAGTGGGAAAACAAATAGCTATTTCTCTCTCTAAAACCAACCAATAAACTAAAAAACAAAAACACCAGCAGATTGCTGGGCTCTACCCCTAGAGTTTGATCAGGTAGATCTAAGGTGAAATCCAATAATTTGCATTCCTATCAAGTTCCCAAGCGATGTTCCCAGTCTGGGACCACAACTTGAGAACCACTGTAAAGGTAACGGACTGGTTTCTGCTGTGGAATACAAACTCTCTTAATGAGTTGAAGACACTGGTCTGGGGCCTAGAAATTGCCTCAAATGTTTAATGCTAGTGTTAACTTAAGAAACATTCAAACCTGTGAATAATTTTTGTGAGTTATTTGAGCAAACTGTCGACAATGCCTGCAAGCAGAATCTCAACGAATTAAGATAATGCTCCGGAGAATGGTGGTTTTTCACCTTGTTTTATACTTTACAATCAAAGGAGTTACATGACATCCATTGGTGATAGAGAGGCAGGAGAAAGCAAAACGGGGAAACCTCTGTGATTGGATAAAAAGTAAAATGATAGACACATGCTTCGAACCTGGGACCCTTCAGTCCGAAGGTGGATGCTCTATCCCAGTGGTTCTCAACCTTGGCTGCACATTAGAATCACCTGGGAATCTCTTTAAAATCCTGATTTCTTGGCCTCATCCTCCGGAAATTCTGTTTCTTTGTTACTAATGTTGTGGCCCCACCCCATAACAAAGAAACAGAATTTCCGGAGGATGAGGCCCAGAAATCAGGCTTTTAAAAAGATTCCCAGGTGATTCTAATGTGCAGCCAAGGTTGAGAACCACTGCTCTATCCAGTGCCAGACACAGGTGAGTACAGGATAGTTAACAGTCAACAATTAACAGATAACAATAAAGTCAGGAAATTAGTGGTTGGATTCCTCCCCATTGGCTGTGCCCTGAGAGGTCCAGAAAAAAGGTAAGTTTCAAGTTACCCT